AGATATTTTCTCTGGGACTTTATTATGTCTCCTGACCAATTTGTAGTACCAAATAAGTCAAACTATTCTTGTTAAAGGAGAGCCTTGGGGAATAAATCTCAGATGACCAACACTAAAGGAACGGCTGTAATTCTCACTATTGTCTCTTACAAATTTGTGCTGTGGAGACTTTGCATGAGTACCGCAGAGTTGCGGAAGCACCCGAGAGTCACCTGGAAGGGAAGGAAGGTGTGCAAAACATGTAGGTGAGGTTTCCTTTTGTGAACATAACTGCTTCTTCCAAGACCCTGTAAACAATTTGATAAACTTGATTTAAATTCTAGGTAGGTAGAAAACATAAATCAATCTGAAGAACTACCATTGTATCTCTAATTATGGTGAAGCTCAGTTAAAATAGCACTGGCATCCAGATAATCCTAGCTACTAAGAAAGCTGAGGTAGAAAGGATTGCAGTCTGGGCAGAAAAGTCTTTGAGATGTGAACTCCAGAAGTAACTAGCAAAAAGCTGGGTTGGAGGTACAGATCAAGTGGTAGAATGCCAGCTGAGCAAGCAAGCTGAGCATGAGGCCCTTGTTATGAGCAAATGAAAAAGAAATAGCACTGGGCAATAAAGGACTCCAAGTCACAGTATTAACGAGACAGGATTTTCATGATTCTATGCCAGGAGCTTTTCAAAATACTTTTACTATGAAATGTGTCAGTCCTCAGAACACACACTCTGTAATCACCCACATTTGACAAATCAGACTTCAAAAATATGGGAAATGTAAGACATTGGTTCTAGAGGGCATAGCTACTAAGTATTTTAACCCAGGACTCTGGCAGTAACTTTCCCAATGTTAATTATTAAACTGCTCTGACTGTGGCATATCACTGATATGAGTCATTGCCATTTTTCAATAACATTGGCTGTCAGGGGCACTCAATAATATCTACATCAATATTTAACTCTATTCATTGATACAAAATTTACAAATGCCATTGAAAAAAATGTTTTGGTTTTGCAAACTCCAAACAGAATATTTTATTTCTGAACATAAAACCAGCATTAAGAAGTATGAATATTTTATTATTTCTTAGTTAGTATAGTTACTTTGAATTCTGGAGCTTAATAGCTCAAGCTAGAAATTTGGCTAGGTTTTGTTCAGTAGTATGGATTTTGACAAATTATCTAGCTCTCCTAAGTGTACTTTCTGTAAAATGTGAATCATTATAGCACATTCTTTACATAGTTTGCATAGAGATCAAATGAAACAAAAGCTGTGTGGTACTTAGGACCTGTCTAATGTGAAACCTATCAGTCCAAAATATGGACTCAAAAACACACTGGTCAAATTTCTTGTTGATCTATTGGCAGAATAAGGCTAGAAATAAATTTCTTGATTTAGAATCCAGTGTACATTTTGTAAAATTACATTAATTTTTCACATAACCATTTGAAGAGTATGCTTTTTGGTGTTATTCATCTAAAAACAAGTACAAGTATTGTCATATCTGAGGATAATGTGTTATTAGATCTTTTCCCTTATCTCCACGTATATAAGTAATAGAATAGACACATTGGATAAAGATAATTCTCTTAACAATGATTTAATGAATGAGCCTAATGAATGGATATGAATATTCTAAGGCTTTCATATCACAAAATGATATGCATATATTTCCATTACAAAATTCATTATTGGCCTACCATATGTTTGAGAAGTTTCTCCATTGTGTTACCTTCTAAGAGAGTGAAATTCTAATGAGTAAGGTAAATGTGTCACAACAGACAATAATCCAGCAAAAATTAATATAGAAAACATAAAGCAATACTAGTGTTACCAATCTAAAGCTCAATGTATTTAAAAAATGGCAAAGGGAAAGCTAGAGACAAGAGAACAGGTCTGGAACCACAGGAGTTTGACATATTTCTACATGCCCTTTGTATTGCTGGTGCTGGGGCTTGAACAAATGGCCTCGCATTCTCAGCACTGTCATGTTTATTTTGTCATTGATTGATTGATTGATTTGAGCTTGTGCTTTATCTTTTGCGCCATAGCTCCAGTTCCAGCTTTCTGCTGGTTAATTGGAGAAAAGAATCATGCAGACTTAACAGGGCTGGCTTCACTGGCTTCAAACATCGATGCTCAGATATTGCCTCCTGAATAGCAACAGGTATGCAGCTCTCAAAGTCATTTGTGAAAATTACTAATATTAGACGATGGCCCTTAGGATTTTTTTGTGGGTACTAAGATTTTATTCTACTGATTAGTTCATAACAATTGTCCAATAAATGCTAGGTTTATTGCAGAATTTTATGATCTTCATTTCTTAAATCAATTCCTGAGTAGCTAGATTATTATTAAATCAATTCCTTATAGCACAACTGTAAATATCCGAAAAACATTTAAAACTGGAACTCTGTTTCCATGAATGTCAACTCTTCATTGTGTCAAAAAAAAATCAGATGCACTTTTTCCTCCAGTTGTTGGTAAGATTTTCTTCCTTTCGTGAGAATTTGTGGTATTAACTCTTCCAGGAAAATGAATGGCTTTTTGATGAGACAGGGACATTCACTGATTCTGTGGGAGTTATCTATCTGATTTATGTGTTGTCTACTATCTAATTTTAAGACAAAAATATGCCATTGATCTCAGGTTCATTCTACCCAATTACAGCAGGGTACATAAAAACAACAAGGAGGTCTGGCCATGTGTTTGAAAATTCCATGACTCAAACTCTTGTTTTTATACTTCTTCACTGAGAAAATAAATGAAGAACTATTGAACTGGTAATATGACTTTTACTTACCATGGTATAGTTAATAGGATATTCATGTTAATTTTCATTTGTTTTAAATAATGCCATGTAAAATGACATTTACATTTCCCAGGGTAGGCGTGTTTATTTCTATTTTGTATAGGTTACAAAACTGGGTGAGCAATTTTCCAAATAGCAAATATTAATGTGAGCAAAATTCACACATACACATATATGCACATACATGCACAAATACACATGCAATGCACAGACATACATGCACATACATATATGCACTTACAAGAATGTGACTGTACTTCATCCTATACTTCATATCTGACAGTAGAAGTTTCACCCTAAAACAACATCCTATCTTATTCAACTTCAAGTAGTTTAAGGATGAGCGGCTTAATTACATCATGGTTATTTTGTATATAATATTTTGTGAAGACAGGAACTTAAAAATAGTTTGATAATGATGGGTTCTAGTAGTAGAATATAAAAGTCTAATATGGTTTAAAACCTTATTTTATATTATTGGGTTCCTTCTATATTTTAACCAAAGTTCCCTCAATTCATTTCAAATGACTCCAGGGTGTTCATATAGGAATTTATGAAACATTTGAATATATTTCCTTATATATTATATATATTCCTTATATAGTATATATTTACTTTTTTGTTCATCATGGGGCTTGAACTCTGGGCCTGGGTACTGTTTCTGAGCTCTTTTTGTTCAAGACTAGTGCTCTACCACTTTAAGCCACAGCACCACTTCTGGTTTTCTGTTGGTTAATTGGAGATAAGGGTCCCAAGGACTTTCCAGTTCTCTTCTCTTGCTGGCTTTGAACTGCAGTCCTCAGATCTTAGTCTCCTGAGTAGCTAGATTATAAGCATGAGCCACCAGTGCCTAGCTTATTATTATTATTGCTTACATTTAAAGGAGAATCTGTAGACTTGATCATTACATATGAGAAGATGAGATTATCATGATTTATCTGCAAAGATCCAATGTCATCACAGGAGTCTAAGAGGAAGGTAAGATGCTCATATAGAAGAAGCAGAGATGCTAAAATCAGAGATTACAGAAGAGAAGATGCCATGCTACAGGCTTTAAAAACAGAAGGGAACATAGGCCAAAGAATGAAAGTGGCATTTAGAAGCTGAAAATGTAAAGGAATTCTCTATTAAATATATCAAAAAGACATTGGCTGATAATACTGTGGTCCACAAAGATTTACTTTGCATTTATGTTCTGTAAAACTATAAGATAGCCAATGCTTGTTTTAAGTCTAAAGCTTACTTGTTAATTTTGAGATAATTGCATAGAACAGGAGATATATACAGAGTTTGGGCTCGGGATCATAACTTGATTTTATAGATAGTGTTACTTGTCAACATTCTTACCTCTGTCCAGATGACTGTTCATATAATACAAAATTAACCCCAGAGTTATATCTCATGTTGTCTTCATGTCTAATTTTGTGCTTTTATGTAGTGATAAAAATTTATTCTACAGCTGTTCATATACCAGGCAAATACCACTGAACAACAATGTTGGGTCTTTTTGCCTTGATAAGTTATTATTAAAAATTGGTGATGTAAAATATAGAAATGATTTGAAATAGATCAGAGATCAATATCTAAGTATATAGTGATAATTATTAATATTGGCAGTACTGGGAATTAAATTCAGAGTCTTGTTTTTGTCTTGTTTTGTTCTACCACTTGAGTGATCTTCCAGTCTGATTTTTTTCATTAGTTTTCAGAGAGAATCTTGTGCTCTATCCGAGAAAAACTGTGACCATGATCTCCTACTACATCTCCTGTGTAGCTACAATTATAAGTATGTACCAACATGCTTTATTCTTTGAGATAGAGTTTAGTAATTTTTTTTGGCCTGGGCTAGCCTCCAATAGTGGTCTTTCTAGCTCTACCTTCCTACCTCCCAAAGAGCTGCCATTACAGAAGCCCATGTATTATTGATAAGATGAATTGATTAATATGTCGATGTGTTCATAGATGGTAACTGTATGTTAATGCTTATTTATTTTTGATTCCTTTCCCCAGCAGCAGAACTTTTGCTCTTTTCACGGCACTTGGAATATTGTAGACCAAGATATATAGCTAAGATCATGAACAGAACACTGTTAATGCCTCATGAAAGTCTCAACTTTAATTTTATTATGTAGGAATTACATCAGGCTTGAACATTTTTAGCTATCTTTTATCTTTCTCTGGCTCCACTTATAAGAACAATGGCAAATTTTACACATGTCTCAGAGTTTGTTCTACTTGGATTTAGAGGAGGTGCAGAAATGCAGATCATTCTATTTTTGATTTTTTTGGTCCTGTATGTTATCTCCGTAGTGGGAAATTTTGGCATGATTGTGATTATAAGGGTAGATGTACACCTCCACACCCCAATGTATGCTTTCCTACAGAGCCTCTCCTTTTTGGATATTTGCTATTCTTCTACAATTGCACCCAGGGCTTTGGTGAACTGCCTGAAACAGGATCATACAGTGTCCTTTGGTGGGTGTGCTGCTCAATTCTTTTTCTTGTCCCTCTTTGGTACCACAGAGGCTTTCCTTCTAGCTGCCATGGCCTATGACCGCTTTGTTGCAATCTGTAACCCTCTTCTATACTCAGTGAATATGTCACACCGTGTGTGTGGGCTGTTAGTGTCAGGGTCCTACTCATGGGGTGTAGTGAATGCTGTCACTCAAACAACAATGACCTTCAGGTTGTCCTTTTGTGGGTCCAATGAGATCAATGATTTTTTCTGTGATGTCCCTCCACTCTTGTCCCTCTCATGTTCAGATACCTTTATAAACCAGTTGGTTCTTCTTGGCTTATGTGGCTCTATTATTGTCAGTACCTTCCTGATTGTTTTGGTCTCATACATCTATATCATCTCTGCCATCTTGAAGATCCGCACAGTTCAGGGTCGCCAGAAAGCCTTCTCTACATGTGCTTCTCACCTAACTGGAGTGTGCCTGTTCTTTGGTACCGTTTTCTTCATGTATGCACAGCCAAGTGCTGCCTCCTCTATGGAACAGAGTAAAATAGTGTCCATATTTTACACAATTGTCATCCCCATGTTGAATCCCCTCATATACAGCCTGAGGAACAAGGACGTCAAACAAGCTCTGAGAAGGAGCAAACAGAAGCTTTCTTTGTGACCTCTTCTTTGATGTGTATTTCATAAACCAATCCGGAATTCACTCTGACTCACTGCCACACATTTGGACTATACTGGACGAATACAGTTTGTTTGTTGAAATCTGTGTTCTAGAAGATACAGTATATTCCACTTCTTTGGATAAAAATCAAGGATTTCAAAACAAAATCTTGAAAACTGGGGGAATGATGACTGACAAAACAGATGGATTGAAGTGTGTATTTGTGTGTGTGTGTGTGTGTGTGTGTGTGCATACATGTTTACCTCATACATTACAGACTATCTTCTTTAAAGTACATCACAAAATAACTGTAAAATTTAATACTTTCCCCAAATCAGTAAATTGCAATCAGCTTACTAAGTACAAATAAAGATCTCTCCAAATGTAAAGAAAAGCAAATGCCTCAATATTCCACCTAAAATATTTAGGAATGTATAAATTCAGAATTAGTATTTTCATATTAAAATTAATGAGTGAGTTTTGAGGCTGAATTATCTATTAACTAGATTAATAAAAAGACAGTTGGGATGCATATCATTAAAATATCGTGTTTTAGGCTGAAATATGAGGATCACAGTTCAAAGCAAGCCTGAGCAGGAAAGTCCTTAAGACTCTTATCTAAAACCATGTACCTATGTTATGGTTTTGTATAAGTCATTCATGTGTTGAGAAATATTTGAATTACTTTTGGCTTGAGATGATTACAAAAACATTATCTGTATACAAATCTTTATATGGGAATATACTTTAGTTTTTCCTAAGTAAATATCTGGAGTGGAATGTCTGAACAATAGTGTGTGTGCCTATTAATGTTTTAAAAGCTGTCAATTTTTCTAAAGTGCATGCACTTTTTTTTACACTTTTCATAGTCATGTTGAGAGTTTCAGATCTTCGGCATCTTTATTATGGTGTTTTGTGTCTTTTTTATCTAGTTCTGGTCTTGAACTCTGGGCCTCAGTGCTATCCCTAAGCTCTATTTGCTTTACCACTTGAGATACAGCATCATTTCTGGCCTTTTCTGTGATTAATTGGAGATATAGTCTCACGGACTTTCCTGTTCCAGCCGGCTTCTAACTGTGATCCTCAGACCCCAGCCTGCTGAGTAGCTAGGATTACAGGCAGGAGACACCAACACCTGGATGTTTTCTGTCTTTTTAATGACAATTAGTTTAGAGTTGTATCTCATTTTGATTTACTTTGCCTTTGCTGAATAGCCGGTGATGTTGAACACTCTTTCATGTGTTTAATTTCCTTCTGTATATATTTTGTTTTATGAAGTATCTGTAAATCATTTGGCTATTATTTTTTCTGTAGGGTAGTGACTTTTCTTATTGAAAGCTAAGAGCTGTTGTTTTTTTAATAACATCAGATGGATGATTTAAAGTATTTTCTCACACAGTAGGCTTACCATTACATTCATTTTGGGAATAAAATGTTGAAAACATTTTATTTTATTATCTTTAGGTAGTCATATAAAGCAGTTTATGAACATAATGTATTTTGATCAGTGTCACCCCTCCCATCATTTCCTCCCATTACTCCCAACACCACACATATCCTTAACTTTCTTAATTTTGTAGGTTATATATTGAATTTTATAACTGCATTTCTGAGAGAATATTAATTTATCAATTTACATACTTATGAGCTATTTAAGAGCTCTTTGTTAAACCAATCATAAGTTTTCTTCTGTATCATTTCTTCTATGAATTTTGGGCCCCAATGTGCAAAACTTAGTTCAAAGATTCATATTTACATTATAATTCCCATCCCATTCTTTCTATAAAAGACTACAATTTCTCAGTGAATTATTTTTGTATCCACATAAAAATCATTTGTTTATACATATGGTAATTGTTCCTTCTCTTGATTTTTACTGTTTTTAAAAATCTATTGTTTACATCAATAACATACTTTTTAGTTTTGATTATAGAAGTCGTTGGTATCTTTCAGAGTAAATTTTGTTTTATTTCTCTACTCATTTATTACATTTAGAAACATTTTATTCAATATTACTAGAAATGTGACTTCACTATACTACAATAAACTCTCAACAGCTCACACACGATATAGAGAGAAGTATGGAGGTTCCTGAAAATACTACACATAGACTTTCCCTATGACCCAGCAATCCCACTTATGGGCATTTACCCAGATGACCACAAACAAGGCCATACTAAAGCTACCAGCACAAGTATGTTTATTGCAACACTATTTACCATAACTAAGATATGGAACCAACCTAGATGCCCCTCAGTAGATGAATGGATCAAGAAAATGTGACATATACACATAGTGGAATTCTATGCTTCCATCAGAAAGAATGACATGGCCCCATTTGTAAGGAAATGGAGGACTTGGAAAAAATCATAAAAGAAAAAAAATATGGTCTAAGATCACGTATACCTGCAGGATTGGAGTTTCTTTTGGCTGCTTGGATTCCCAAAGGAGGTTTACTTAAGGTTCATGGAGTCTAAATATGTCTACAAGATGGTGTTAAATGGGAATATTAGTTTTATCTGTTCCAAATATCATCCTCCAGTGTTGTAATCCCCTACCTTCTTGTAATAGAGTGTGCATTTCCTTTCTCTTTCACAGGAATATATGGGCAATATGAAAGCATGAATGTCTCATAGTTCTTATGCATTAGTCCAGGACATAGAATGCAAATAAAGATTTCAGTGAGGGTCATAAAACCCAATTACAACTAGAATGAATATTTCTGGACATTATATAACCTATACTCACTGACTTTGCCTAAGCTTCCCTGCTACCCAAAGCTTCAAGCTCAGTGATACACTTCTCAGAGTATTTACAGTAAGGGTGATGTTGGCAACATCAATCAGCTGGTTCAATTATTTTCAAGTTTCAAGGCAGAGTATTCTGAACTAGATCATTTCCCAGTGATCAATGAGCATGTCAATGATTCTAGCATAAATAAATAAGACAGTGAGAAGATCTTCAGATTTGTGAGTGCTTTACAGATGACTGCTCAGTGTTTCAGAATGTTTTTTTTTCTGTCAGTGATATGGTCTAAGATTTGTGCATATCTCCAGTCCACATGTCCAGAGGCACAGTATAAGGGCATGGTGACAAGGCAGCTCTCCATACATGAGCCAGAAGAGAAAAACCCGTGTTAGAAATCTAACACATTTGGTTCTTGACTTTGGATTTCCAGTTTCCAAAACTTGAAACAAGTTTCTGATCTCAAGGCACCCAGTCTATGGTGGAAATGGAAATTAGTCCAACTGCGATGGAAATCATTATGGAGGTTCTTCAAGAAACTAAAACTAGGCTACCATATGATCCTGCTGTATCAATCTTGGACAGATACCCAAAGTAATTTAAATCAGTATACAAGAGATACTTGCAAATACATATTTATAACACAACTATTTCCAACAGCCAAACAACTGAGGAGCACATAATGAAGCATACATATACATATACATATATATATATATGGATTCTTATAAGCAACAAAGAAAAATGAGTCATAAACCCCAGTACTGGCAGAGAGAGAGAGAGAATCTTATTTGTAGGAAAATGGATGAAATAGACCATCAAATTAAATGAGACAAGACAAAGCAGAAATATCTATCTATATATTTATGTACACATACACACACACATATATATGTATACATGTGTGCCTATATCTATATATAACTAACATACTCACTCATGTATGTAACCCCAAACTCCAAAAAGGACATGACTGTTGTTTGGGGGAGATCAATTGGTGAGAAATAGTAGAAAAGAGAGGGTGTGAATATTGTAGAAGTTTGTTATATATATATGTATCAAAATAGTACAGTGAAATAACAAAAATTGAGTAAAAGGAAGGTGGAGGACAGAAGGTAGTTAAGAAAGAGAAACATAAATAGGCTGTATTTGATCAAAGTACATTATACACAAGTTGTCAATAAAATAAAATCCCTTTATAAAATCAATTTATGGCGGTAAAAATTTTAAATTATTATGCTACATTCTTATAAGCCTAGCTACTTGGGAGGGTGATTGGGAGAGTTATGTCTCCAGGCCAGTCCAAGCAGCAAGGTTGAGACCCCTTTTTGTTTTTGTGTTTTTGTTGTTGAATTTTGTATTTATTTTACATTTACAACAGGCAAGTTTCATTAGAGAAAATGTGAGAGGGCCTTTCAGAGTCAAGGTGAAGAGGAGGGGAGAGAAGAGCCTGAGCAAGTCCACTTCTTTTAAGGGGAGGAACAGAGGGGCAGGGAGAGACTGTTGGAGGAGCTGTTACTGATTGGTTTGTCTGGGCGTCAGTTATAGGCCATGAAACCAAGGTGGAGCTGCTGTGATGGAGATCCCCATCGGGCCTAGGATGGTGAAGCCTAATGGCGGAAGTTGCTTACTCTTCCCATCACTTCAGAATCCTTATTTTGTAGGGAAACGGGGCAGAGTTGATCGCTTTCCTACTTCCTGCGGAATGGGCTGAGGTGAGGGGTGGTGGTTAGAGTCTGAAGTGACTCTCAAGGTGCTCACGGATGGTTGCTCTGGAAATTTAGGATCCCCAAGATCTAGATGTGGCCGTTCTGTGTTTCTTAGCTTGACAGAATCTAATGTAGGTAGGCTGTGGCAAAGCATGCCCCTGAGTAGGGCTTGAGATGCTGTTTCAAAACTAACCAGCAAAAAGCAGAGCTGGATTCAAGGCCAAAAAGCAAGTGTGAAGCTTTGAGTTCAAACCCAAGTATACCACCAAATTAACATATATATATATATATATATAGATGTAAATTTATTTTATTGTTATTATTTATCACTAGAAAATTAAAAAAATAAGACTTATGAGAACCACTTGGTATTAAAGCAGCAGAAGTGACAATATGATCAGATGAGAGGAGGCACAGGAAAAACCAAACTCTGAGTTTTAGGTTTACATTTACTCCTCACTTATTCAATTTAGAATGGAAAGTTTTTTTCTAGAGCCATTAGGAACAAAAACAAAAGGCATACAAACAGAAAAGGAGGTGATCAAA